AACGCGTGTGGGGAACATCTCGGGGAGACGGTCTTTTCATCATGAACTGCCCGCTCTCCTTGCTTTGCGCTTTGCAATAAAGCTGTACTTTCCCTCACCACACCACGTGCCTGTGGTTTGGTTTTATAGCGCTTGGCCGAGCGAACCTGATTTGAGTTCGGTCACAAAAGGAGGCACCAACCAGTACCCGCCATGGAAAATCGTATCGGCGAGTCAGTGCCCTTGGAGGCGCTAGGCGCAGCGCTGGACCCCCACACCAGCTCGTTCCTGTGGGGTGCGGGCAGCACTGCAAGGAAGGCTCCCACTCGCACCCCAGCAAACCTGAGCCCTGGCTGCGGTGGCCGCTACGACGGTGCCCACCAAAGCCGCCTGGCCTTTAACTGAATCTCGGGGGTCCTTCGTACCAGCTGAGCCCTACCCCTCGGGCTGCCTGCACTCCTCGCCCACAGGGTCTACTCCTGTCTGTGCTGAGTCCCTGTTTGCAGCCCAGGGCTCACTCACCTCTCCTGTTTGACCCTTAGGACTGTCCTGGCCATCGACTGTCTTCGCTCTCTAATCCCTGCCATTTCTGGCTGTTCTGAATAGTGCTGGGGACCCTCATGTGACACTAGCCCCAACGACCCCTGGCTTGCCTCCTTCTAAGCAGCCAGCACCTTCAGACTCGCTAACGTCGTCAGCTTTCAGGCACCAGCTGGGTGGGACACTGGGTCAGGAGCCAGGACGTCCTCCACTCCCCGTTTCTGTATCTGTCTGTCATCTCGGCCCTGCGTGCTTACAGTAACCCATTCTCCTTTACGTTTGGCTAGGGACAAAAAACAAAGACAACTGGAATGTACCTGCCCTAAGGGAATTCACACCCTGACAAGGATGACCCATGCAGAACTTGGCTCTGCGCCCACACACTTCAGGCCCCACAGGCTGACCCCTGCCTGGAAGTCACACGCACATGCAGTCCCTACCTGACACTGTACTTGCCGACATGGGGCCATTTCAGGTTCCTATGTCCAAAATGTGATCTTCCCTGCTCTTCCTCCTTTCTGCACACAGCATCAATAAACTTGCAGTCTAAAAACAAATAAACGAAACCCAGGAGAAGCTTTGCCTCCTCTCTCGCCCTTCAAGGCCTGTCCAATCCTTCAGTAAGTGCTCTCTGCTCTACCCGAGGGCGCAGGACGAGCCACGTGCTTCTCTGCTCCTCTTCAAGTCAATGCACCCTCAGGCCACTGCTGGCCTACAGAACCTCCACAGTCTGAAACCGTGCCCTCCCTCTGGGCCTCCCCAGCCCCACGCAGGACACCTGCTGACCAGAGAAGAAGAGCTGGATTTGGTGACTTGACCCCAGGCTAGGCCCCCAGGTGGTAAGTAACCTGCAGACTGGCCTAGTCCCCCAGAGGGCCTAGGACAGCCACCGTTTTCTCTCCAGACTGACTGCCGAGTGGCCTGCTGCTACTCTCCCACAGCCCGTTCTCCGAGTCTACATCTTAAACCAAGGGCATCACTCCTCTGCTGACCCCCTCCTGGCCGACCCCCATTCACCTCTCCTCTCGGCTGACCTAACCTACTCTTCTTTAAGAACGTCGAACTCCTCCCTTCCAAGTGCTTTTTTTTTCAACCCTTCCACCTCAGACCATAATATGTGAACCAGGATTAATCCTCTTTTTTCCAGTTGTGCCACAGGTATGTGCCCTCATCAGAGAGAGACAGAGAGAGCGAGCGAGAGAGAGAATAAAAAAACCACACCCTCTTTCCCCAGTGGGGACGGCCACCGCTGGAATCCCTTCATTCTCCTCTCGGGGTCTGGGGCATGCACATATACGTGCCCCGCGTGTCTTCAAACCATCAAGTCCAGGACTCAAACCACACAACCGGCCTCATGGAATCCAGCACCTTGACTTCCGCACCACCTGCTAGCTGGAACCTGGGTTAGTATTAACGTGTGCCCCATCGCCCGCTCTCAGCAGTCGTCCACACTGGGCTCTACTAGACAGCTGTCATAGTACTGTAAGCGTACCCATTCCTCGGGTCAGAGCATAGCTTGCACTTTGCCCCTGACTGGCCTCTAAGCTCATGGCTAGTCCCCCGTTTTACGCACCTAACATAGACCCAAGCACGAACTTCATGCTCCCTGTTCTATGTACAGTATGTTATTACATAGATATAGCGGTATATTCCTAAACAGTTGGGCTTCACAATTTTAGTAGTTTTTTTAATTATGAAAGAATAGCATGCTATTTGTAATCTTTTAGACTTAACTTTTTACTTAATATTATGTTGCTAGGACCAGCAGTTAGCGTAATGGCTATGTCACTGTACTCCCATGTAGTCGACTGCAGTTGAGTCCCGGACCCAGTGGCTTAAACTCACACCGGGCGCATGTGTGTGCCCAAGATCCCGAGAGGAGAATGGAGGAGAAGGGATTGCGGCGTGACCATCCCCCTGGGGGGTGATTTCTCGCTTTCTGTCTTTCTCTGTCCTTCTGGCGAGCACACACGCCCTATAGCAAAAACCTCTCAAAAAAAAAAAAGAAAAAAGAAAAATTGTGTAGCTAAGAAATAATCATCTGTGTCACTTGGTTTGCCTTTTTTTAATTGCCAGAGGGTATGTATGTTCACCAGGGGAGGGGGGGAGGCATTCCCCGGGGGCGTGGTCACATAACAGCCCCTCCTCTTCATTTCTCCCTGTCGGGGATGCACACACCCACGCTGCAGTATGCCCATCGTGTTTTGTTTTTCCAAGCCACCAGGCCTGGGATTCAAATCGCATTCAGCCACATGGACCCAGCTGCCTCAGCCCCTGGACTGCCGTGCAGCCCTCCCCGTGCTGCTCCACCCCACACCTTTGGGTGTGCGCTATTGGGAACCAGACTGTCCGGGTGCTCGCACGCGTGTTCCTGTGGAACGCGGCTAGCAGTTTTTCCCAGGAGTGAATGTTCACGATAGGATACAACGTCGAGCTGGTTTTCAAAGCCACTGTTCCAAATGGCGCTCCACCAGTAGTGTGCAAAGAGTCTCTGGACCTCCATGCTCTTCAACCACGTGATGTTGTCGAACTTCTGTTTTGTGTTTGCTAGAGGGTGTGTGCACTTTCCTAAGAGAGAGAGAAATCACCCCCTGGAGGATGCAATCCCTTCCCGTCCATCTTTCTTCTTGGGACCTCATCAGGCTTTTTAAGACAGCGCCAAATGAGTGTCAACAGCTGTCTGGGCGTGGCCTTCACTGGCAGACCCAGGACTCGGTGTGTTCGCTGGCCGTGTGCACTGTCTCCTCAGGGCTCTGCTTCTCTGCCTGCACGTCCTCCCCCGGCGGCTGCCCTGCCCTCATGCCCACCGCGTGGAGGCAGCTACTGCCCAGCGTGGCACCTGCTCTCAGCTCTACGTACCGACCGCTTCCGGGGTGATCTGTCTGTTTACTGACACAGACCTGCTTCTCACGACCAAGCAGGTGCCCAAGGACCTTGGCAGCCCTCTTCCCTGCTCCATCCTCAGTGCCTAGCACAGGGCCTGGCACGCGCGGATGGGTGGCTTTGTGAGAGAGGGTAGGTGAAGTCAGAGGCCTGGAGCCCCGTCTCAGCTCCCCACGCCCTAGCTGTAAGCCCATGAACCGGTTAAATAACCCACATGTTCCTTCGCTGGCCCATCTGTAAGAGAAGTGCAGTGGTCCTCACTACAGGCAACCGTGGGATTGAAATGAGTTAGTATATGTAAGGTTCTTAGAACACTGCCACAGACAGCAGGTGTGCAGAGAAGGCGGGTAATTACTACTAACGCGGGACTTTGTTATCGCCGCTCACGGCGCCAGAGCATCAAGACACGGGCCTAGTCTGGGCCCACCGCACCTCCCTCCCCTCAGCCTCTGCATCTCCCTGGTCTTGCAGATGTTCCCTCTGACCCTAGAGAAGAGGTGAAGAAGCACATGGGCAAAAACCCTTGGGTAGTCTATTTTTTTTTTTTTGGATGGAGAGGTTTTTTTGGGGGAAGGGGGGGGTTGTTTTATTTATTTTTTTTGCTATAGGGCGTGTACGCTCGCCAGAAAGACAGAGAGAGACAGAGAGATAGCGAGAAATCACCCCCCACGGGGGATGGCCACACCGCAATCCCTTCTCCTCCATTCTCCTCTCAGGAACTTGGGCACACACGCCCGGCATGAGTTTAAGCCACCGGGTCCTGGACTCGAACCACGGTTGGCTACATGAGAATTCAGCGACATAGCCATTACGCTAACTGCTGGTCCCAAGAGGGGTAGTCTATTTTCTTAAATTATTATTTATTTCATTTTATTTATTCATTCATTTATTTTAATTTGACCAGAGAGAGGGGGAAAAAAGAGGGAGAGGGAGAAAGGAAGGCACCAAGCCTGGGACTCAAACCGTAGTCGACCATGTGGGAGTATTCAGCACCTTAACCACCGCCACCTGCTGGTCTCCAGGGGGTAGTCTATTTTCAAGAAAACGGACTGGTCACCCCAAAGATGCTGGACAGCAGCACGCGGCTTTGGCTTTTGCAGGGCCGGCTAGGTCAGTGATTCACCGACGTCCATCCAGACGCGAGGGCCCAGCGTGCCAGTCCGTACAAACCACACGCCCCACTCCCTCTACTTTGGTTCCGATGTTCTGGAGAGGAAGTTAGGACGCAGGATGGCAGAGAAACGAGGTAGAGTGAACGAGGGAAGTGGGGAGCCGAGAGGGCAAGGGGGAAAGGAGGGACTAGGGACGATGGGAGAGATGGGGCCCAGGAAAGGCGGGGCACGTGGTACTGGCTTCCCTGTGCAGTGTTAAAATGCCAGAGAGGAAAGGGAGTCCCGTCCACCCCGGGACATTTTCTTTTTGAGCCCTGAGCGGGGCAGGGGGAGGTAAGCAGGGAGAGGCATGGCAAGAGACCAGGGGCCTGGGAGCGACAGGGGAGAAGAGGAAATCCAGGCAAACTTCACTGCACCACCTTCGGGGGAGGCTGGTCCCAGGCCATCTGTGGCCCCCAGTCAATGTCACCGTGGTCGCCAGCTTACCTTGTTCTGCAGCCAGGAGACCCGCTCCATTCGAAGCTCTCCTTGTCTCCAGGGGAGAAATGCGGCCTTGGTCAAATGCGCCAGGGGGTAAAGCGTAAGTGCGAGTCCTCTGAGAATTCCCGCGGGTTCACTGGGAGAAGCTGTTTCCATTTAAGAGAGACCAAGAGTCCTGGCCGCGACCAGCTGTCCCTCCGGGTGTCAAATTCCGTGACAGCTCGCAGCCCAAGGGAGCGCAGGGCCCCCTCTCCGCTCCAGGGCGCCCCGAGCCCGCGGGGGAGCCCTGGGGCGCGGGTGCGGGCGCCGGGCGGGGACGCGGCAGCAACTAGCCAGGCCCCCGCTGCGCACTGGCGGCTGGTCGGGGTCAACCTCTGGGGAACCCCTCTCCTACCTGCCGGCCCCGGCTGCAGCCCTGACGGTGCTCAGTACTGAACCTGCTCACAGAAGGCCCTGCTGGGACCGGGGACTCCCTCCTTCTGGAGCCCGCGGCTGCAAGACGGAGCCCGTGCGCAGCGGCCGGGATCTCAGGGCATCGCCGACCTTGAGGCTACCCAGGCGTGTGCATGCGCCAAAAATAAACCCGGCCGCGCGCCCACACGCTGCGCTCCGCTCAGTGGTTCCCGCCCCGGGAAAGGACTGTCCTCAGCGGCAGAAAGCGTGGGGAGGGACCTGCGCTGAAGAACGGGCGCCAACGGGATGCCCAAGGCCAAAGTGGGGGTGGTGTGAATTTCAGGGGTTGGATTTAAGCCTTCCGAAGGAAGAAATTGCGCGCGCGCGCACATCGCAGCCTGTACATGCCGCGCGTACACTTCTGGCGGGCGTGGAAGGGCCCAGCCCCGGATCCGCGCAACTCC